AACACTGACTTGTACATCGGCTGGCCCCCGCAAGTCATTGTATAGGCCACATCGCATTCAAACGCCACTGCGAATGTACAAATGGAAGTAGAATGCGTGCCGCATCCCAAAAAGGGATTGATCAACGGCAAATGCTTTATCCTTTATCCTTTATCCTTTTCCGCTAATCCGACATGTTTGATGTGAATTATGATATTAATTACCGATGTTTAAGCTGATCATTAACCGCTTCTTAATTAGCGTATTATGAGTATTACGGTGGCCCAACAAGCGGGTAAGAAAATCTGGCAACAGGTGCAAGGCATTGCGGGTGTACATCGCGCTACGCGGTCACACCACGCTATCTGAGTACGGTAGGCATTGATTAGGTGTGCTTAGGGATTACGTCATTTTGAGTAAGCGCCAATTACCGCGTTAAACAATGCAAGTTCAGATGTTGCACAGCGGTGTACCTTTAATTGACAGCTATCTGATGCGCAGGGTCACGGAGTTCATGGGAATTTGATACAAGCCCGGTTACGGTAGCATTGTTCGCTAATAAGGGCCACTTTGAATTTAGGCAGTTTGCAAGCACTGAAGACGCAGCATTCACTTAAATAATGAAGCTTACTGTTGAAAAAATCCAGAAAAAATGACTCAAGAAACAAGTTAAAGCCCAACTCCCTATTCAGATTTCCATCCAAACGTCCTTGCTTAGCGCAATGGAAAAAGGCTTGCCTCGATCTGCTCGCGATCACAGGTTCATTCTTCTGATACTGCTAAGCGTAATAACTTCGTATATGAACCCGAATGGTAGATGTTAGCATTAATTCTACTCGAGAGTGGATTATCAGCTGTTTTGTCCCACACGTCTCCTCATTGGCACGTTTGCAATTCAGGTTGAAGAGATCGAGGCAACGAACCCTTTGTATCCAATGGCCAGAGAATTCTGCCCTACAGACTTCACAACGCAAGTTGCGACGGCCTCCAAGGAGATCTGACGACAAGTGGTTTCCAGTGACAGCTGATAGTTGATAAGTGATAGCTATGAGTAGTAGCAACTGCTATAATACAATTGCAACCTGCTAATAATATCTATGTGGGAACTAAGGCATTTGCCTGAGGTCTCTGTGTTGTGGAAGTCTGTGGCAAATACAGGCACCTGGGCGCCCGGATACAACCGAGTTTGTTGCAAAAGCAGCAGCGCTTCACAGACCAGGGCCTTGAAACACTTCAAAATTAATTTTGTATTAAATTTTAAAGGCGATTCAACGCCGACGTATGCAGTTTTTTGAATTTGAAGTTGGGACTTTCAGAAGCTAAGAGTTGGAATAGTTTGCCCAATGGCTACTTCCTGCAGTCATCGTTGTCTCCACTTCCATGGCCCTTAAATGATTGACTCAAGACCATAATGCTTAGTGAAGTGCTCAGCTTGAGTCTAAGAGCGCGATGTGCAGGTGGCAGTTGGCAATTAGCCAGGAAGTGTGCCGAGTGCAATCATTGTGTAAATAAGCAGAGCTAATATTGGGATTTGTGTGTGGATGATTGCACTGATTCCACTCGAGGTCATTAGCACGAGCAGTCTATATTTGACTATTAGGCACAAGCTGGAGGCAGTTTTTGGCCGAAGCTGGTAGCTATTTGGGCAGGGATATATCTTAAGGGGTAGCGCTTAATAGACATCATAATATTGTGTCAATGGGCAAAGACCGAGCCGCCCAAGGTCAACGGGTCCCATCTGAAAGCAAGACGAGAGCCTCTGCTCCCTCTGGATCTCCCTCTTCACCGCACATACTCACCGACACCGCAGATGTCACTATTATAACGACATCATAATTGACAGTACGCTAGCGTAATACGTACTCCCTTTGTTCGGATTGTGTGAAATTGATAAACAGCAGTAGTCAGCCTGTGGACTACCGTAGACAGCGCATAAACCCTCGAGATTTAGCCCATTTCAGGGCAGACTTTGGATGATTTTCATGTTCCAGAAAACTGCAATTCCGTAAAGCGTTTTTTAAGAAGGAAGAAAAAATTGGAAGAACACTGCAAAGACACGCTTAGTTAGGGAAATCGTCCCACTGTAATGCGGGTCCTCATCCTCCGCGCCTATCGGGCGAAGTGCCCTACCTGTTGCACTCCAGGGGAAATTTTTCACCTCAGTTAGCCTTCTGATGTTATATTTACCATAAAGATACCATAGCTTAGAATTGGAAGGTACATCGGCACGAATCATCCTCAACATCCCTCGAGGTCAAGGAAAGGTCTAATTTTGTTGTTATTTACAGTAGAGCTGTTACGGTGGGTTTCTCAGATTTCGTCGGGCTCGTTTGAAGTGGAGCTTCTCCCTAGCGGATCGAAATAGTATAATTACAGGGGCTGGTCGTTCCAAACGACTATAATCGGCGAATCAACGAGATTGCGCGTGTCATCGTTCTCTTTGATGTTACCTCTAGCCGACCCCCACCCAATGCAATATCTCTCTTTTCATACCCCACTCCCACCAATAATAAACGCCTTTTGGTGCCATCGCATTTCTTTTGGCCTTCAGAGGCTCTAATGAGCCGCACTATTCAACCGTACTTTTACTCTCTCTTTTGTGCTTTCTAGAAACCTCAAAGCACCTTGAACCCACTTAGCTACCAAAAATCTGCAACAACAGTTGGAGCTTCATGGGAAACGTATGTTGCGTTTGGATACTGTGTCTGCGACAATACTCTCCCTTGAAACCACGTGTCAAGTATTCCCGCCCCAGCCTTGAAATAACTCCTCAACATTCTCCTAATGTTGACAGAGAAGATAAATCGCGCTTACGCCAGCCGCAATAACATATGTAGTTTTGTGAATACTTGACCTCAACAAACACTCCGCGCCTGAAACGTCCTTCCAGTATACCACTATAACTCTCATTAGCCTGGGACAAAGCCTTCAGATGTCAGGCGGGCTCTTAAGATTGAGTATCCAGTGCCATTAGCACTGAGATTCCTTGCAAGAAAGTGGTTCTCGTGTTTTTGGACATAGGTGTTCATTCCAGTGCGGCGGAACGATAGATTAACTCGCGCGTGATCGGCCATTCCAATTTTGCCTAAGGCTGCACATAAGGCCACGTAAATGCAGCAGCAACACTGTATTGTAGCGATTTTTTCTAGCAAAGGTCACCAAGACCCAATCCCGGACCATCGACTGTAATGTGTGGATCCGTTGCATACCGCCTCGAGACCTGCAGCTCAAGACTGCTTTCCATTCCTGAGCTAAAGGGGCAGTACCTGTGAACAAAGTTATGTACAGGGAAAGCGCAGCGGTAGTGGTCGCGGGCTTACAAGGACAGGAGGCCGTTGGGTGACTTCGCACTAGCGGTGTTGCTCCCTTGCTTTATTCAGTAAGGCAAAAAGAATTCACTAAAAATTGTTTTGTAAATGTGCACCTACAGATGTGTGAAGGGTTTTCCAGCTGTTTAGAGCACTTTTGATGAGGAATAGCATGGAATACTCCGCCGGCAGGATTTCCATGACTCCCCAGAAAATTGTTTATCGTCCCGGCGCTCAGCCGTTTCACAGGCGGCGAATGTTAACGATCCTATCAAACAACCTACGTCAATTGACCGAAACATGGTCTGTTCGCCTTCTACTTTCCTTGGCTGAGTTTTCCCATGACTGGCTGGTTATTATATAGTGTAAAGAATTCGACGAAACTTTGTGAATAAATATGTTTGGTTGATTGAATTGTGAGTGCGAAACCTTGGCACCATCTATGTTTTTAGTCATGTTCCTCACTTGAATTTCATTGTTCCATGCAAATTTATGGTATAAAAAACAATGCGACTGTTAAAGGAATCTTCCGGAAAAAGCTCCGCCCTCATTACCACAGAAAACGATACCTTAAAGGAATCTTCCACGGAAAGAGTGATCATTTTGTCTTGTGTGTAGGATTAGTATTATCGAAACTAACGCTTATGTTCCGTTCTTTTTGCTATGCTCATGAGGCTAGGGGCCTAAGGGGTATCGTTTTCTGTGGTAATGGAGGCGGAGCTTTTTCCGCGGAAGATTCCTTTAATTTGTGTCTGGCTAGAAGCAGCGTGGTCCTACTTCCGGGAAAGCACCAATTTTTGTGAAATGCTCACGAGGCGTTCACGATGAGCTACATAAGCTTAGCTGATCGCGTGTTATGTACGTAACGAACACATTGCACAGGTGTCGATCCGTGTCAACAGCTGAGCGAGTAGATCGAGTTTCACAGCGATTGACATCTGCTAGCCATAGAAGTAACAAAATTTTCCAACTGGTGTCATTCTCACCTTCGTTTCGGTGAAGGTTACCATCCCATTACTCAAGAACCCATAGTTTTCTAGTTTCTTAGTTCAACGAGCATTTCTGTCGCATCTCAATTTTTTCTTAGCAGCAATTCGTCATGGGCAAGAATTCACGGTGAAACTACAGTTTCGGGTCGAGAGACACCCCACCCGTTATCTCAGTCCGTACTACTGGAGAGCACTCCTTTGGATTTCAACCCTATGGATTATATGATAGGTAAATCCTCATTTTAAGTGCGCTTTTGATAGGAACCGGTGTTTGCACTACATCATGCACGTCCTGCCCACATCATAGGTCCACTCCGGGCCCTAGGAAAGTATGTCGATACTCTAGTTCGGACCATTTTCTCGAAACACACCAGCAGGACCAGTAATTTGGAAGCACCTTGTGAGTACTTCCACACCTAAACCGGTCCTTATCAGAATTAAATAATTTAAATGAATCGATTACGTCCTATGAAAACACCTTATCTCTAGCATTGAAGAGCACAGTGGAGTGCCCCCCAAAGTGGAGTTTCACCGAATTCACTACACTATCAGTCATGATCATTAATCAAGGCTAATTGTGCCTATGCCATATCAGATGTGAGGCTTTTCGATATACAACATACAGTTTTGTTATGTTTCGGTGTTTTGACAGTTATAAATATCAAATTTATTCGAATAATATGGAGAAATACAAACATGACTGAAGCGATCACAGGTATTTGGTTCATAGCCAGGAGCTGAGGTATCGGAAAGTGGCCGTAATCCAGGCGCATTCCTAAACATGACGGCATCGGTGATAAATGAGAAGCTAATGACAGCAACACAATTGCTAATAGTTATTATACAAATATGTAAATACCATTCTGCTAACAATAGTTGAACGAACCTGTTTTTCCAATGCGATATTGGTGAACTCGTTATCAAAAGAGTCACAATGAAGGAGCAGGCGCTGAGCGATTTCTCGGGCACGAGGGCAGACCGTCTGCGAAGCCTCCAAACCACCTAAACCACCGCTTTCAATTTTCCAACGCAAGTGCCAAAAATTCAAATTCAAGTGTGAAATTGACGGTAAAAAGTCGACGAAGAACTTACATGATTCTTTTCCCGGGGAAGTGCTCGGAGAAGCAAAGCAGAGTTTACGCTTCAAATTCACACGAGTGCTGAAGAAGCACGGAGATTCAAACGAAGATGAAGCTTCTACGCCTCCACAAGGTGAATTATAGCCACTATCGTTCGACAACAGCAACATCTTAACAAAAGCATGGCAATAATGTTTTTTTATTTATTTATTTAATACACCGAAAAGGTGCCCACATAATAGGGGTCAGAAATTCGTAGCGACCAGACCATGAGTAAAAAAAGTAAGACAAAAAAAAGAGAAGGAGGAGACAGCAAAGCACTTTTTGGGGAGCGGAGCAGTTGATAAGAATTCCAAATAAAATGGAGGCCAACAAGAGTTTTTTTCAATTTTTATAAATAGCCCCAAAAAATGAAGTAAGACTTGTTCGACAACGCGTGAGCGAAATGGAGTGAGAACGACTGACAGCAATGTTGGCTGGAGAAGGGCTTGTGTGTAATGGCGAGCGAGGCTGCCCCAAAAGCTTGACCCCGCCTCCTACCGTACCCTGCATCATCGAGATTGCGCCACCCACAATTCCGTTCATAGCTGAGTAATAACCCCAGCAATGATTTCTAGTTTTTTTTTTCCTACGAAAACCCAAGAGAAATCAAGCAAGACTAAAGGGAACCGTTAAACAGTGAAGGGCCAACTACGCGTGCGCACCTGCGCACCGCATCTTGTAGTATTTATTGTCCGAATTTTTCGTCCTAGCAATAGTGGCATCGAAAATTTGAAGCTTTCGTTCAAGGAATAAACCCGAATACACTGGTCATTGCGGCAGGATTTCCTCAGCGAATATTGCGTAATTTTGACGCACTTACATCGACGTTCTTTTGTACCATCCATGCTATTTGCACATTTCGTGGGTGTAGAAACACTTTTTCCAGAACCAATACCACTTTGCTCCATGCTAAAGGTCATTAAGTAGGTACCTGATTCAAATGAAACGAACATGTCACCTATTCGCTTCACCTGATAAAAATGATAACAGATAGACCACTCGGCCCTTTTTAGGATGCGCCGCTCACTCCGCTTCCATTGGAACTGTGTCGGTGTTCTGAAGGTGAGTTGAACCCATAGTGGCTTGCCGGGAGCAATCAATGAACAATCTGTGTTTTGGTACCAGACTTGTGTTCTTGCGCACAACTCTGGTACTAACAATCCTGACCCCGGAGGGATGCAACGTTTGGTTGACCCGAACAGCGTCACGCTCACGATTTGAATCCCCGTGCCTTGCGCGTGGTAAGCCTCGCCACTTGCCGCTACACCACTTCCGACCTGAGTCTATTTGTTCATGACTGATAGTTCCTTTTTGTGTTTTCTCCTTATCAATAACATAACCGTCGTCGAATAGTTCGGTGTCTGTTCCAATGCCAATCATTAAAATCACCGTTTTTGACGAGAACCAACTACCACTTCATTTCGCCCCTGAACAACTTTTCCCTTCGTTTCCAAGCGATGAGGAGAGGCGGCGATAAAAGGCTGGTCTATGGCGCATTGTTGCAATTTGTTAGCGAATTCGGAGATATCCATGCGGCGAAGCAATTTTCTACGTCGGCACGTGTCATAAAAATAAATCAAAGCGGAATGCGTTGTATAAACAGTGCGCGACAAACGTCTCACTCAATTATACTATCATCTGACCATATGATTCGCTATGGAAAGGATATTCGGTCTTGAAACCCCTCCCGAAACGGGCTGATTGACTCCCGCTCACGAACCCTTTGTTGGGGTTGACGGGCATGAGAGTGAACCTCTCAAAAGCCACCGCCATCAATCATTGTAGCACTGCACAATGAGCCTTTCATGGGTGCATTACCATTTGTCCATGCCTACTCGCGACGGGTATTTTAGACTTTTTTGGAGTCTTATTGTAGCAACTCTATTGCCAGTGATACTGCCTTTAGTAGATCGTTCAGTTCCTCGAAGTGATAAACGAATGGCAAAGGTGCCGCCGATGTCCCGAGACGCTCGTCCAGGCCGTCGGGCGATTCCCGGATCGGCGAAGGTCTTTCTCGGACTAATTCGATGAAAAATGGTCATTGCATTTCTCACATGTCGCCGCTAACTGCAAAGCCCAAGTGCTAAACTTTGACACGTCTTTTAGAACGGGTTCGGAACTGAACAATAGCAAAGATTATGCTTCTAAGAATACAAAAAACCTTATTGGCACCATATTAGGTAGTGCTTTGATGGAGCAACCAGCCATCTGCCTTTTGCCTTCCACTTACGCCCAAAACAATGATCTCATTCGGCGGCTATCTCAACCCATCCTCAAGACAATTGCCGTCTCTTGACTTAATTTCCGACTTCTTGATCATTTGTTTAGCTGGAAGAAGTCACCGTAACCTCTTCTTGCGATGGATTACTGTATATTTACTTAATGTTGACAGAGCAATCACACCTAGGCAATCAGATCACTTCCTAACGAGCTCAATCCGCACAACTGAGCAAGCATTCACTTCCAATAGCCAATATTAGCATTGTTTGCCCAGGGAGTGTATCCTGCGCACTTCCTCTCTAATCGACAACCATCTGCTCCGTCTGCAGCCCACTCTGGAGATGGAAAGCTTCGATGAAGGCTGTTTTTAGAACGATTAGAGATGGTAACAGTCGAACTAATATAGTAATCTATTTTATATAGTGTTGCATTTGCACCAGTTTTTGCCTTTTGTAAAGGATTATTGACGTTCCGGCAAGTGTGCCTCCCGGGGCCTCATCACGACCCAAATGTTCTATAAATGAGAGACCCACTTTAATATTCTCACCTCAAAACAATCTAAATAGTTCACAAAAACTCCAAATTTTCCAAAAGAAAAACCAAAAGAACTGCTCAGAAATCTTTTTTTTCAATGTTTTCAGAATTTTTCAAAAATTCTTGAATTGGATCATCGGGAATTTCTGAGAGTTTGTGCTTCTTGGCATTAAACGACGTTTAGGTCTGATAATAATAATTTTTGCTATTGGTAAAGCAAGTTAATGCCGCCATCGTTTGGCATTCGTTTCTTGCCGAAGCATCTTTTACAACTTATGGTGTCCAAAAATTAGCATCGCACCGATACCTGAGGCCCGAACGGACACTCGCTTCGATTCTTGTTCAGAATTTTTCCAACGGCATATAAGGTTGCTGATTAAATAATCACCACTTGTAATGTGAGCTTTTCGCCATGAAAGATGATTCAATGACCAATAGGTTATCAGGAAATGCAATATTAAGAACAATTAAGGTATGTCAACCCACTTCACACAAATGCTCAACTCGCTCAGCAGCAACTCGGAAACAGCTCAAAAATTGCCTGTTCTCCACTTTTATAGAATTTTTCACGATAGAGTAGCTCTAGGGGTCGATGGAGCGGTTACTCTTCCACTGAGCTCCTCTGATCTCATAATTGAACTCCAGAAAAACCGATTCCATCTCCACTCTCTCCTTTTTCGGATTAACCATGCTCTCTCAGCGATGCGCAGGTGTTCACACTCTGTCTGGCTGTAATTGACAGCACCACGCGACAATATTTGTACATGATGTCGTGAATGCGCCAAATTAGCCATGATTACGTCTTCCTGTTGCGTACGAACGGAAACAGCCGCATGTCGTGTGTCATTACGGAACTAATAAAGCTCCCCCGAAATTGTCACTGCTACCGTAAGAATAACAGCTCCCTCGTGTTTGTTTCTACGTGCTGTCGTACTCGATAAGCGGCTTCCCTTTGAGACGCTATTGGATAGTGTTCTTGCCAGTGTGTACATAGCGGTGTCGGAAAGACACTTCTACTGTTGCAAAACCTTGTCGCGTGGAGACAATCGCGTGTTTACACTGATGCTTTCGGACCACAGAAAGCGGCATATCCACCCCCTCCCCCTCCTCCTCCAGCCTTACTGGAACTTTGATACTAACCATTCATTTCGACTTCCATACTTGCTTCGCCATTTCTTGAGAGATTTATGAGCCGAATTCATACGTACTGCTCAAGGCTTGGAAAATCGCTGTCGGTTAGCTTACAAGTGGAATGCGCAATTCAGGCTACAGATCCCAACGCAGCTTCATGATCAAGCCTAGGGTAATGAGCAGTTCAGCCCTTGTCATTTTATTTACCCAAATTCATAGTGGGCATGTGTAAGACAACAATTCAAGGAATTCCGTATTCAAGACCGCAGCCAACCTGTACTCCTGGGCTTCCAAGCCACAGTACTGCCTTGAGTTGAACCTGCTGGAAAGCTTTTTTCAAAACTGGTTCGAATAAAAATTATTCGAATTCCGTCTCGCAAGCTGTTCAGCCTGCAAAAAAGAAAAAATGGTGATATTGCTTTTTTATTTTATCAACTCGATGGTAATCGATTTCAAATCTGGAACACAGTTGACGGGCCAAGAAGTCTCCCATGCTGGTACGGGACAAATGTTTCCAAATTTTTTTCAACTGCCGTTTTTTCGCTCTCCTCAAAGGTTTACCTAGCACCATATTCGTTTGTAAAAGCATAGTGAACTCCGACCTCCAAGAAAAATTCGCTCAGGCAATCTCCCTCGTAGTTAGGAGATATTTCTCCATCAAATGACTATTGAGCGCTACTGCTAGAGTACACAATTGCAAAACGATGCGTTCGGGGGGAATCGAACCCCCGTCGAATGCTTGGAAGGCATCCATGCTAACCATTACACCACGAACGCGTGGAAGATATGCGCCGCCGACCCGTTTTGTGTTGGGGTGTGACCGCAGCGTAGATGGATGAAGAACTGTGCTCGTACCACTGCATAGGTATGTCGCTGGCCTCAGGAATCGAATTCGATGATTTTGTATTGTGGGGTCACTAAAAATAATGTTACTAAAACATTCCCTTCCAGGCTGGTACCGGATTCCGATTGCATAGAAAAGGAAAAGGTAAAGCGGAATGCGACCATAGTTAGAAGTCATACCAGCTCTCAATCGAAGTTCGTTTTTGGTCTCCGTTTCTCTGAGCAGCAAAAATACCCGGAAAATAAATAAGTTAAGCGCGATTCTTCACGGAGGGAGGGATCACTCGCGCTTCATCTGCTCTGGGATGTGGGTCCATCAGGAAACAGACATATAGGAGGAGTTTCTGAAGACCTTCTCTCTCCCCTTTTCGTGATTTTACATTGATCTAGGATGAATCGCTTCATTAGGTTTCCCAGATCTTTCGCAAAAATGAAAGAATGACGGGTGACGATAAAGGCGGGAAGTGGATGGTGCCCCACGGAGCCCTTGTTAAAAAATTGCTCCATCGCTATGCTCTGCGCCCTCCTGGGGTTCTTATTGCTACATGCATACGATGGGATTTCGGATTGTGTAGAACCAGCTGGTAGTTGTCTATCAACATTAATGGCGTGTTCGGCGTGAACAGCGAATCCGCAGCGTGAATTTCACGACTTCAGAATACTCGTTGAGCTGTAGAGGCACTTCAGCGTAAGCGGAATCGAAACGAGTCTTGTTCAATGGAGCGTTCAACACAAGCATTTGACTTCATTCAATTCTATGCATAATGTTGAAGTCTCGACCTATTTGATAGTGGAAGCTGCTTCGGACCGCACGT